CACGTTGGCCCCTCGAGACCCAGGTGACTGATACCGCTGCTGATGCTGGCTGCTGCGATTGGGAGTGGCCACCCCACTGCCGATGCCCGTTGCGGTATCACATCTGTTTGGAGTCGTGGCCCCTCGAGACCCTGGACTCCTGGGAGTACCTGATCTGGTGCGCGAGATTGTCGGAATCTCCGCTGGTCCATTTGTTACAAGACGGCTGTCGCAATTACCTCCAGGGCCCGCCGTGCTGTCAAGCCTCTGGTGGTGGGTAGGTCGAGCATCGTAGTGGAGGACCCCACTGCCGTGCTGCGGGCTTTGGGCCCCAGCTGCTCTCCCCGATGCTGCCCAGGAGATCGATGCTGTCGAACTGATCGGAGAGCGTGACGAAGTCCCACATCCGTCGTGCTCTGCCCTGTTGGACTCATCGGCCGCCTCCTGGCGATGAATTCTGTCATGCATAACCTGAAGCCTGGCGGCGCTGCTAGGCCCCCTCCCCCCCTCGGGGGGATTCGGCGGGCGCTGCTGCTGCCTGCACCTCGGCTCCAGGAGTTGCAGGAGGGGAGGGGGTTGCTGTGCCCCTTGTCTCGTCCCTCCTGCGGGCCACTCGGCCACGAAAACGGGCTATGCCTGACTCTCCAGAGTCTACCCGCTGACCCTTGTGGGCCTGGCTGATGTCTTCTCCTGGAAATGCGGGCACTGGACCGAACGCCTCTTCGAGGGCTGCAGCTGCGGCGGCGGCTGAGGTGTGCTGGCGCGTCATGATGTCGATGCCCTCATACTGCCTCTCGATGCTGGCCCCTGCCGCCTCCGCGTTCTGCTGGGACGCAGGGGGAGGGGTCAATACGAAGCTGCCGGCTCCCTCTCCACCACCGTGGCCGCGCTGCTCCTCATGCCCGAATGGAACTGTGGGCGTGAGTGACATCTCGCTGAGTGGCGCTGGCGATGCTGGAATGAGGATTACCTGAGATGCTGTCGGGGTGGGAGGGTCTCCTTGCTCTGCTGGTATCGAGCTAGCCCTTGACGTGGATGCCAGGTCTGTGTCTGCCTCGTGCTGCGTGATCCCCCTCATCTCATCACCCTCATCGGGTGTGGGGTGATCCTGGCTCCAGGGCGGCCACCTGGCGGGGTAGATCATCGGCGCGTGCTCCGAGCCGTCGTCCTCCGCTCGTGAGTCCTGCGCGCCCGCTGTGCCGAACTGGGTCAGGGGGGCCTCCTCGTAGTAGCGCCTTTGGATCTCCTTCGCCTCGTGGTCCCTCACTACGGACTCCAGCTCCTCCTCCATCTGTACGGCTTCCCATTGTGCTTTCTCCTCAGCAGCTTGTCTGTGCAACTCATCTTGTTCGCGCTCGTATCTTTCTGCCTCCTCGTGCGGGTATGGCCTGTCGGGGCTCCTGGACCTGTCACGCTCTGTGAGGAGGGCCTCGCCTTCGTCGGTCTGGCGGGTTGCTGACCTGGCTGACCTATTTGATGCGGGCCTCCGAGGGGAGGGGCTGCTCTGCCTGCGGCCCCTGTTGGCTGGGCGCTCTTCAGCTGCGCCAATTTGGAAGGTCGCAACGGGGGGCTCGACTGTAGCGGCCGCTGCCTCGGCTGCTCCTCTGGCTTCCTCGCACAGGTCGGCGGCCTCCTGGTAGTCGTCCATGGACTCTTGGGACGTTGGGAGGTGGCCCCCTTGGACGAGATGATGAGCTGCCCTCTTGGTGAAGTCGTAGCCCTCCTGTCCGTATTGCCTCATCTCGGCGTACAGGTTGACCATGGCCTTGCGTTCGCGTTCCCTGCTGGCTGCGATGGCTTCCAGGCTCTGCATCCTCAGCTTTAGTTCCTCTGTCTCCGACGCGCCCTGCTGCTCCTTCTTTGCGATGGCGTCTAGCTCGGTGCGCAGCGTGCTGGAGCGCTGGAGGCTTTCTTGCAGCGCAAGGTGGATAGCCTCCTCCCTGCCCGCCCTCTGCTGGCTGGCGAAGTCTTCCATGGCGGAGGCCTCCTCCATGCTGGCGATCCTGAAGGTGAGGGCCTGGGCGAGTTCCTCCTCGAGCGCCTGCTCCTGCACCTCTGCGTTGGACTTTTGCTCGCTCAGCTGCACCGCGTAGCTGCTCAGTTCCTGTCGCAGGCTCTCTGTGTGCAGCTGCAAGTCGCGTGCGTTCGCCTCTTCTATCATGACTTGGCGGGTGAGACTCGCCCTTATTCCCTCAACACTGCCTTCGAGCTCTGCCCGCATTGCCTCCTTTTCCTTCAGGCTGGCCTTCGCGATCTCCTCCTCCTCTGCTCTGGTCCTTAGCAGGGCGAACTGCAAAGCCTGCACCTCATGCGGGACTTGCCGCTCCTTGTTGGCGCTTCTCAGCTCCGCTGCTTCATGGTATGCCACCTGTGCTGCCCGCTGCGCAGTGCCCGCCTCTAGCTTGGAGTACTGCTGTAGCTCGTGTATGCGGGCTTCAGCTTCCTCGAGCTCGTTTTTGGTCTGCTTGAGCCGCTCCTGCTGCCGTGCTGCTGTCTGGACGATCCCTTGCAGCCTGGCCGCCTCTGCCGGCGGGAGGGCCCCTTTTCCCTTGGCGTTGGCAACCACTTGAGCCTGGGCGATTGCCTGGACCCTGGCTGATTCGGCGGCAGCTTCTATCTCGAGGGCGCGGTTCTTTTTGGCCTCCTGGAGCTTCTCTTCCATGACCAGCTCCTGCCTGGCGAGCTGCTGCTTGAGATTACCCGCTGCAGCTGTCGCTTGGGCGCTCTCATGCTGGGCCCGTCGCAGTGACTCTTGTGCCTCGGCTCTTGCCCTCATCAGGTCTTGGTAGGCGCCGTCCTGGGGTTGCGGCTTCTCCCGGTGCTCCGCTCGTACTTGCTCAAGCTGCTCATGCAGGTGATTTGCCCGGTGTGTCGCGGCTTCCGCCTCTGCCTTGGCATGAGTGAAGGCGGTGTCATGGCTGATTATTCTGGCCTCCATCTGCGTCGCGAACTCGAGCTGCTCGTATTGTTGCCTCTTGATCTCATGTCGGAGGGCCTTGTGTTGCTGCTGTTGCTGCTGCTGGGCTGCGCTCTCCGCTGCGGTGATGCGCTGCAGCTGCTCTGACTCCTCCTTGAGTGCCAGCCTCAGTTTCGCCTGCTCGCCATTGTGGCGGAGTGCTTGTTCGCGAGCAACCCTCCTTACTTCCGCCAGTTCGGCAGCGAACTCTTGCTCGGCTTCGGCATGGCGCTGCTGCTGGTGGGCCCGCTCCGCATTTGCCTTGGCCACCTGATCTGCGAAGCCTCTGGTTGCGCTGCCTGCCGAGCTGGCTCTTGATCGTGGCGATTGCCCCACCACTCCTGATGGCCAAGCTGGGAGTCCGTCACCAGGTGCTTCGCTGTTCAGGCGCCTGTCAATCACAGCCTTGTGGAAAGCATCCCAGCTCGGTGCCAAGCCGAACCCGTCCGTGTCCCAGTCGCCCTCGTCGTCCGCCGCGCCGCCGTCGGCGAGCACAGCCCTCACGTCGGCGATGTTGGACTCGAGCTGCCTCAACTCCTGCTGCTTGGCCTTGAGGTCGTCCCGCAGCTCGTTCGACTTGGCCTCTAGGGCGATGACTTCGAGTTTGACGGCCTTGCGCCTCTTGCTGAGCACCTGCAGCTGGTCGTTCGGCCTTCTCGTGACCAGCTTCTGATACTTGATGACCGCGATCTCCCGTAACTGCTCTTCAGTGCTGTCCCCCGCGGCCTGCTTGGCAATGATCAGGTCGCCCAGCTTCCTCAGCCTCTGATCGGCGGTGCTCAGGAACTTCTGGATGCCTGCGCGGTCGGCCGGGGGCGCCTGCCACTTTGGGTGGGTGGTGGCCTGGTCCAGCGTGCATGCCGCCACTGAGTCGATGACCTTTTGAGCACGCTGGTCCGCTTTGCTGGAGCTGGCCTGGCCACCCTTGCCCGCCCTGGGCTGCTGCTGCTGCTGCTGCCAGGGATGCTGACTGGGCTGCTGGTGCTGCTGCTGTGGCCATTGGCGAGGGCTGGCCTGGCCTGAGCGTCGTGGCCGCGACGGCTCCCTGCGCCAGGGCGGTTCCTCAGCAGCTGGCTCGGCGTGCCAGTGCTGTTCTCGCCAGCCAGCGCCGTGCCACCTCTCCTGACGCCATGGGGGCGCTGCTGGCGGTGCTTCTTCCTCTTGGGCCTGGCCTTTGCCGTTACGGCCACCACCGCCTCTGCCCTTACCATCACGAGCCATCGCTGGCTGGGCGGAGTGGTGGGCGGCCAGGCGCTCGGCCGCCGCCCGCAGGCGGAGCAGGAGTCTGTCCTGGGTTCTCTGCTGCCGCTCGCGGCGGTGGGCAGCGCCCTCTGGAGCTCCTCCTCGATGATGACGCGGCGTCCCGCCGCTTGGCCGCAGCGCGGCCGCGAGCGCCGCGGCCTGCGGCAGGGGACAGGGAGGCACGGGTGGCCCCCTGCCGCAGGGTATGGCGCGCGGCGCGCGTGAGCCCGGCCTCGGGGGCTGGCCGATGCGCGATGCGCCCTGCCACCGCGATCGATCGGGCGGCAGGCGCCGACCGACCCCGATGGATCGATCGGGATCGGCTGGCCCCAAGAGGCCAAATGGCTTCTGCCCCCTCCTGGTCATCCTCCCGACTGCCTACGGCCATCCCGCCAGGGACTGGCCATCAAGCCCTGCCCCTCCCTCGTCCACATCTTCCCCCTTCTCCTCCCCCTTCTCTTCCCCCTTCTCTTCCCCCTTCTCCTCCCCCGGCCCCTCCTGCACCTCTTCCTCCCACCTCCGCCCTTCCTCCACTGACTGCTGAAGCGCCGCTTGCCGCCACCACCATCACCACATCCACCCCTCCACCCCTCCGTCGGAACACGATACGGGCCTCTGCCTCGAATGGACAACGTCCGCGGCGACACCGACGGGAAATCCTGGTTGGGCAAGCGGCCTCCTGCCTTACATAGAGAACGTCCGCGGCACAACACCGACAGGAAAACCTGCTCAGAATGGACAGGGACTGCTGTTGGCCTTCGTAACCACTCTTACCATACCCCCTTTGATCGTACCGATCCGGCGCCGATGAACCCCCGGCCGCCTCCGCCGCAGCCTCGTCCGCGGGCTCGTCCTGCCCGAAGCCGTACACCGCGGCCAGCACGTCCGCGACGCACGGCAGCCCTGCGGGCGGGGGCCGACGGGGGTGCCAGCGCGAGAGGGGGGGTTATCGAGGAGATGGAGGAGATGGAGAAGGAGATGGAGGAGGAGATGGAGGAGGAGGAGGAGGAGGAGGAGGAGGAGGAGGAGGAAGAGAGGAGGAGAGGAGGAGGAGGAGGAGGAGGAGGAGGAGGAGGAGGAGGACGCACGCATCCGAGAAGGGTTCGAACCAATTCACATGCACAGACAAAAAGTTGGAGCTAGGCCAGGAGGGAGAGAACATCCTCCTCCTCCGCCCCACCCTGGGCCTTCCGCTCCTCAGCCTGCCTCCCCAGGGCCTGTGCAGCCGCGTCCGATAGGCCGTACAACGCCAGGACGCGCTGCCAGTCGGCGGCGGCCGGGGCTGGCCGCCCCTCGCGCGCGGCCGACTTGGTGAGCTCCGCGATTTTCGCGGGCCCCGGAAGGCCCTGGGCCCAGGCAGAGAAAAAGGGAAGCCACTCGGCCCTGACCTCGGGGGCTGGGGCTCCCACATGTGCCAAAACAAACCCCTTTGGATTTCTATGGCCAGGATACTGACCAACTCGAAACTTATTAAGATAGAAGCCACGACCTCCGCCAGCGACAGGACGACACGACGAACGAAGATTGCCACGTTTCGAGCTGGTGTGCGCCATGCTGCCGCACCTTACGCACATGAGCAAACTATCATGAAAGGTCTCGCGATCGGCTTCATAGATGTCGGCCTGCTCCAGCAGGTGACCCATCTGCCTCCAGGCTCCTGGTGAGGCGCCGATCGGGGCCTCAACAGGGCCACAAGACGACGGAGGGGGAGCAGCATCGGCAGCAGCAGGCTCAGACCCCACCCCCGAGGAGGAAGGGATGGGGAAGCCCGGGATCACATCTAGCATAACATAATTGAGCCACTCGAGGCCTACAGGATCTTGCTTAGCAAGATCCCTGCAATCAAACTGCTGCGAGGCACAGAAGATGCCGAGACGGCGAGCGAATTCGGAGCAGCCTGACACACGGAGCCTGTCTTGGGCACTTACGCGATACTGCTCAGCTCCCTGTTTCGCGAGCCGGTCTGCTTCTGAATTTCCGAACCTTTGAAGGTCCGTGATCTTGCCCTCTCTCACGTCCTTCATCGACGTGTGGGCGGGAATCTTAAACACTGTCAGACCTTCTAAACGATCGCCGAGCTCGGCCCACCAATGTGCCCTGGCTGGCTTCACACCGGCGGCTCCCGAGGGATCTCGGAGGCAACCGACCGGGGGATCTCGGAGGCAGCCGGCACAATCGATGTACAGGGAGACCTGGGGTCCGAGGACCGCTCGACGAGACAACATGAGCACTGCGAAATCCTCTCCGTCGCGTGCCAGCTGATCTGGCGCCTCGGCCAAGGGTACTACGCCGAAGAGCGCCGCCAAGGTTCGGCCTTCTCTGTCCAGGACTACGACGGCCCATCCCGCCGTACGCAGGCCAGGCATGCTTCCCTCGAACCCCGACCCGTCCGTGAAAACATGGGCCCCCTCGGGGATGAACAAGGGGCCGTCCTGTGGCCATTGAAAGCGACGCGGGCACGGGTCCAGCGGGTCCCTCGGAGGCCTCCGAACGCATGACGTGGGGTCTGGGAGCATGCACCTGCTAAAAAGTTCCCGAGCCTCCCTGGACAGATGGCCAAGATTGCGAGCAGCCTCCCCCACCACGGGATCCAGGTTTTCGCGGCGCCAGGCGGCGAAAACACAGCAATGGAAACGCCGATGGACGAGATTCCCTACTGCTTCACCACACAGCCGACACTCTTTGCCAGCTTCGGGACTATGGGCTGAGATACGGACCTGCGACCAATATGCATTCGCCAAGATGGCCGAAAGGACAGCCCTGTGCCCCTTGGTCCAACAATCATTGTTTTTTCCTAGCTAAAAGTTGATAGAAGGGGGCCCAATGGATAGGCCCACTCCACTCCTGGAAGTCATACTGCATAGACTGCTCCTCCCGCTCGATAGCACGCCGCACGGCGCGACGCACGAGAAGGCCGAAAAAACTCGGAGAGAAGCGCTCCACAGCCCAGGACCTGCCACGATCATCCACCAAGGAGAGAGTGTTAAAATCGAACTCCCAGCGGATCCTGGCCAGGAGCAAGAAGAGGGCAGCAACAGGTTGGCGGACCTGGCCCCACGGGCTAGCCTTGGCCAGGACCGCCTTGGCATCTACCACGCATGACTGCAGCACATCATGTGTTATAGACTTGGCCCATAGAACTCCTACGAACTCTCGTACACCTGCAACGATAACCACCACAAGCGGATCCCTCATCCAGAGCCGAGCAGAGGAGAGGAACCGGAAGCCCAAGGACGTCCCAGGGAGGAGCGGGCCCCAGGACCTCGCCGCTTGGATCCGCAACTTATGGAGGCTCGTTGGGGGTATCCCTAAAATGTGGGACCCCCAAATGGCCTTCGCGAGGAGTCCTGCACGGAAGACTCTGCTATGTTTTTCGCTCTGCCCTAAGTTGCGAAGAGCAGCTCCCGAGGCCGACGCGTCGGACAGCCGTTGTGCCTGCGTGCCCACTCGACGGACGCTGCCATCGTTCGAGTCCCCGCCGAGGCCGCGGTGCGCGGAGACCAGCTTGTCGGCCCCGAGCGTCCATCACGGATCCTGCAGCAGCTCGGGCAGCAGGCAGCTCGCGGTCCGAGAGCATAAAGCAAGTCTTGCCCCAATTGATTGGCAACTGCTTCGCCTCCAGCTCCGCAGTGACGATCGCAAAGCTGCCGATCGTCGCCGACATCGTGGTTGCTGGGCCTCCGATGGTGTGCGTGGTGAGGTCATCCACTACGTTCAGCGTTCGACATGGTCGTGACTCGACCGCGATCCTCCGGAGAAGCGTCAAAGTGAGTAGCTTGGCGACTCCTGTCGCCGCGCTGCGCCCGGCCACGATCGTGGCGCTCGGATGGCTGAGGCGGCTGGTGCCGCCAGTCCATCTGGCTCTGCGCGGGGCCCTGTAGAGGCAGCAGAGAGCCGCCAGGAGTGCCCCGTCGAAGGCGAAGTGTTCTCCTGCCTGACGTAGCTCTTGGTGGCTAACGTTCTCGTAGAACTTCCGAATATCGTAGAAGACAGTCGTGGCCGTGAGGCCACGCCTGCGCGCATGACAAGACAGCACGTTGTGAAGGTATGCGGCTTTATCACAACTGCTCGCAGCACCCTTACCCCAAAAGAAGTCTGCATCAACCGAAGCCTCCCACTTCTTGACATAAGTTCGTCTGACTCTGCTCCAGATTCTGGCCCAGAAGCAAAGAAGGCCGATAGGCCTGGTGCCCCCGTCGGCCTTGGGCAAGAACACACTCATGGTCACCCACATGTTCACGCAGGTTGGTCTCTTCTCCCATTCAGACAAGATCCCGGCCAGCCTCGAGACGAACACACCGTCCAAGAAGGCGACCAGTCGCATGTGGAAATTGTCCCAGCCGAGCCCCGTGGATGGTCCGAAGCTCTTGCAGGCGTCGATCACCTGCTGCTCACTGATGGGCCCCAAGGTCCAGGCGTAGTTCCAATCCTTGGGGTGCACCTCCTCCGTCCTCTTGGTGGAGATCCACAAGCTCTCCCACTCCTCCAGGACGGCTTCGATGGCAGCAGCCCCCGCTAGGCCGCGGGGCGGTGTTCCGGACTTCGGGCAGGCATCCTCGAGCCTCTTGGGCCTGCAGACGGCGTGTGCCAACTTGCCCGAGCCCTCGACCGCCGACTCACCGAAGTCCCTCCAAGCCTTGCTGCGAGCCCTGGAGTCCTGACGACGGCGCTCGTCCACCTCGTCAGTTAACACAGCGCGGAACCACGCAGCCAATTGACCTCCCCGCTGCGCGAGGTGGATCCACTTCTCAACTTGAGGCTCCCTGAGTAGCATAGAACCAGATGCAGGCTGAGGCAGCGTCAAGTTCCGAAGCTGCTGCATGACTCGGCCCCGGTGCACTGCTCGAGCAGCCTTGGACCCCGCAGGCGAAGATGTCGACACGCAGAGACTGTCCCAGAGGCGAAGAGCTGAGAGCCAAGTCCTAGTGTCAGTCTCGTCATGGCGTTCGAGAATACCCTTGGAAAGCTCGCTAAGGTTCTTCTTACGCATAACAACCCCCTTGCAGCGCCCAAAGTAGAAGCGAGCATCCTTCTTGGGAACCTCGAACAGCTCCACAAGGTAGCGCTCGGCTGCAGAGAACCAGCAGGCCGCCTCTTGATCAATGTCATCAATAGGGCGATCCAGCGCCCACTCCCCACGAACAGTGACAGAGGGAAGGGGAGAAGGAGGCAGGCCCCCATCTGCTTGACGTCGCGCCTTCGCGGCCTTTGCTCTGGCCTTAGCCTTGGCCCCCTGGTCAGCCAAGGGAAAAGCCCTCGGCGGCGACTCCACCCACGCGAACGGCTCGTCACGGATGCCCTTGATCTGAATCGAAACGTAGCAGTGTGGGGACACGGGCGCATCAGTACGAGCTTCCACTGTCATAGGGAAGGCGTCCAAGCACTGGGACCCGATAAAATAGTCGTACTCATGGCCATTGCATGTAGGCACACCCGGAGCATAAGCCGTAGCTGAGGCCAGCTCCAGCCAGCCCGTGCCCAAGACTTCCTCGGGCCCCATTTTCCAGTCACCTCCCAGAAGAAAAGGGAAACGCTGGGACCCCAGATACGTTCCCAAAAACTCCAGAATGTCAATGTTCTCGCCCTTGGGCCCGAGAGAGTCGACGCAATAAACGGAGCCAACGATCATCCAAGAGTGGGGCCCGAGCGTGAGCAGGCGTAGGAGTACTCGATGCTGGAAGCGCTCGGGAATGGGGTCGAGAATCGCGACGCCGAGGCCGAACGCCGAGACCAGCCCCACTCCTGCAGAAAGGGCCCGAGCGGCCTCACCAGTGCGCACCGACGATCCCAACGCCAATCTCCTGGAACAAGCGCGGACCCATTGGTGTGCTCCCGGCTCGTTGGAGTAAGCCAGCTGCGTCTCCTGGATACACAAGGCGTGCGGCATGCCAACAGCCTTCTCGATCCATGGCATGGTCGCTCGCGCTCGCGGCCAAGTGTTGGCATTCAAAGTGCCTACAGTGAACACAGACTTGTTCTCATCATGGCATACAGGAAGGGCCTCTGACAAGGACAGCGCGACGGCTTGAGATCCAGAAGAGGGCGTCGTCGCCGGTGCCGGGCATGAGGGTGCCATCATCGATGGAATAGTCCCCGAGCCCGCTGCGCAAGCACTGATTGCCTTTGCCACAGGCTGCCGACCAAGAACGTGGAATGCCCGAGGCGCACGCTGCTCTACTACCGTCGCGTGGCCGGCCGGGTTAACGTCACCGCATCTGGCGCTAAACCAGCTGCTGGGGTGGCTGTAGTTGCTCACGGAGCTGGGCGCCCCGAAGCAGCCGCTCTCGAATGTTGACCGTAGGAGGCACTGGGCCAGCAGCAGCGCCAGCCCCAGAAGCCTCACCACCCGTGAGGTCGACCTGCGCTGGCGGGGCCTTGGCGGCCGCAGCCGCGGCGGCCGGCCCACCGGTGCCACCTCCAGGCGCCGCTTCCGGGCCCTCAGCCTCGCCGACCCTCCTCTTCTTGCCCTCCAGGCGGGACAAGTGCTTGCTGTGCGCCTCCATGGCCTGCTTCGCCGCGTCCACCGCGCCTTGGAACATGCGCGACAGAGCCTGCTGGATCTCCGCCGCCGCTGCATCCTTGCGCGTGCGCAGCTCTTCACGATCTGACTCCTCGAGCTCGTAGGCTGCTGCCACCTCCGACGTGCCCATGAAGTCGCCGATGCTGAATACCTTGGTGAGGTCAACCTTACCCTCGACGAGCTGGCGGATGCTGACAGCAGGCGCCTGCTGGGGAGGTGGCGGGGCGTTCTGGGCCTGAATGGCGTCCAGCGCCGAGCGAGCCACCTTGTCGGCCTCCTCGAGCTCCTTGGCCAGCGAGGCGATGTGCTCGACGAGGCGAGCCGAACTCGCCCTCCAGCGCTGCAGCTTCGCGTACTGCACCTCGAGCTTCTCCTCCAAGGCCTTCTGCTCCTGCTCGGCCTTCTGCCATTTCTCGCGCAGCGAGAGCTCGGCTGGCGGCTGCGGCGCGCGGTCCGCCAGGAGCTGGTAGCGGCGCGCCCCCTCCTCGTCTCCTGCAGCCTTGGCCATGGCCGCCAGCTGCTTGGCCTGCTCTGCCTTGATCTGCGGCAGAAGTCCAGGCGGGAGGGCAGCCAACTGGCCGTCTCGGCCCTTGCCAGGCGGAGCCGTGCCACCGGAGGCCGCCTTGCCTCCGCCCCCTTTGCCTCCGCCCTTTTCGCCCTTGAGCCCTTTCGCCCCAGTAGCCTTGCCACCATTGGGGTCGGGCTCCTGGCTCGCTGGCTTCTTGAGTGACGAGCCGCAGTGCTTGCAGCACAGCGACCCCTGGACGTTGCGGCGGCAGCCGCAAGAGGTGCAGAGGACGTACTTCTTGGTGCCTGCTGAGGTGTACCACTCATCGTCTCCTGCTCCTGCGATGTCTCTCGGCGCTGGCCAAGAGTAAGTGTAGCTGCCTCCCCACCGCCTCTGCCGCCGCTGCACCCAGGGACGAGAAGCATCGTGAGAAACCATCAACACTGTGTAAGAGGTCGCAAAGCAGAAGAGTCAGAGGTACGTTATCGTGTGCCTGGCTGGTGTCACCAGGAAAGCAGTCGGGGGCCGTCCCTCCCCCACGCCAAACCTCAAGTCCCTGAGCCTCCCGCTACGGACTTGAGCCAAAATGGCTACGGAGAGGAGGAGGAGGAGGAGGAGGAGGAGGAGGAGGAGGAGGAGGAGGAGGAGGAGGAGGAGGAGGAGGAGGAGGAGGGGCCCCCAAACGACCAAAGAGGGCCCCAAGGCGGCCCTGCAGGCCTCCCTGCATGCCCCGGAGGCCCCCAAAAACAGCTCCGAGAGAGGGCGCCCGCACGGAAGCCGGGGGGCCGACGGGGGGGGTTATCGATAATGGTGGGGATGATGTTCAAGATGCTGCTGCCGGTAATGATGGTGGCCATGATGATGACAGCGACGAAGACGACGACGATGACGGTGATGACGCTGGTGGTGCTGGTGATGGTGATGGTGATGATGCTGAAGATGATGACGACTGCGACACCGATGGTGGTTTTAAGATGATGGAGATGATGACGATGCTGATGGATGAGAATGAAGACGACGACGCTGATGACGCTGGTAATGGTGGTGATGATGCAATGCTGAGACTGTTGATGGTGATGACGACCGCGATGGTTGTGGCGATGGTAGCGATGATGATGCTGATGATGATGATGATGCTGATGATGAAGCTGGTGGATGATGATGAAGATGATGTTGATGATGATGATGATGATGATAACAATGATGATGATGGAGGTGATGATGGTCATGGTGAAGGTGGTAATGATAATGATAATGGTGATGACGATGATGATGGTGATGACGATGATGATGGTGATGATGATGAGGATGAGGACGATCGTGGTGATGGTGGTGACCATGATAATGACGACGTCGATGATGGTGATGATGATGATCATCATCATGGTGGTGGCGATGTTGAATCATGGTGCTGAAGATGATGACGAAGACGATCATGATGCTGTTGCTGATGGCGATGCCAACGATGAAGATACTGATGAATGGTGATGATGGCGATGATGATGATGAATAATGATGATGCTGATGATGATGATGATGAGGAGGAGGAGGAGGATGCTGAAGGCGATACCGATGATGGTGCCGATGGTGATGGTGATGATGCTGATGCTGATGATGAAAATGACGACGACGATGATGATTGCTTTCACGATGGCGACGGCACAGACAATGCCGAGGGTTAAGTGTGATGATGCTGAGTAGGACGATGATAATGATGATGATGATGATGATGATAATGATAATGATGATGATGATGATGATGATGATGATGATGATGATGATGATGATGGCGGTGACGGTAATGCTGATGATGGTGATGCTGATGATGACGACGAAGATGATGACATTGGTGATGGTGACGCCGGAGCGTGGGCCGGAAGCAACACGGGAAATCGGCGTGCAGGGAGAGGACGAGCAGGCCTGTGAAGCGCCTGCAGGCACACGACCAATGACCGCACCAGGGCAGATCGGCTGGGCTAGCACGTAGGGTCCACTGAGCAGCCAGGCTGGGGCACAATGCAACAACCGAAGGGGGGCCTGCATGGTCACTGCATGGTGGCCCAGGTCTGCCGCTGGTGGCCACCTTCAGATCGCCACCTTTCTGAAAAAACAACATTTTACATTTCACAGATTAGAACCTAGAGATATCAACGGTACTCAGAGGACGTGCTGTATGACCCTCTACCTGCGCGGTATCCTCCGTGCTTGGCCCCTAACGCAGTGGGGGCGCCAACTCCTGCACGGGAGTCGACTATTGCGGCGTACTTCTGACTGGTCTTTTTTGGAAGCAGTCGCACAGAATCCGTTAAAATGTGCCAAGGCCCTCAATCACAACACACATACTCTATTCCGCTAATTTCATGTGGTTCAACACTCGATGACTCACGAACTGCTCAAGCACGACCTTTGAACAAGTCCTCCTGAAGATTCCTGGCAACGGACAACCACATCCTCGCTAACATGTTGGGCTTGCTAAGGAAAGTCGTCCAACATGCCCCTGCGGGTACCTGCACGGAAAACTGAAGATTGCCGTTCCTCAGATGTACCCCCCTTCGTTTCAGGTGCGTGATGCCCCAGGTAGAGGTAAAACCTGCCGTGCTCATCACGGTTTCGCAGGATCCTGTTACCCGTTTCAACCGAATCTCGAGCTGTACCTACCGCCTGCCTAACGCATGTTACTTCGATCGGCATGGCAATCGTCGCTAATGTTGTTCATCCCTACAAATACCATCCTCCACTTCCTCAACATAATCTACCCACACTGGTTTCTCTTGATCGCACGTATTTCCTGCTCCCCACCCGACGTTTTCCTGCTACTCCTCCTCCTCCCGCTGTTCTTTCTCCGCGACGACGACGACAGCAACGACGGCAACGAGCATGTTAAAAACGACGACGGCAAACACGACGATGACGGCGTCGATGGACGACGACGACGACGACGAAGCCGACGACGACGACGACGAAGACGAAGACGACAGAGAAAACGCCGACGACAACGACGACCAGGGCTGACGACGAGACAATGACGAAACGTTCGACATAAACGGCGACGAAGTCGACGACAGAAGACGACGACGACGACGATGCCGACGCCGACGACGACGACGACGACGACGACGACGACGGCGACGGCAACGAACACGACGACGACCACCACTACACGGACGACACAGACGATCACGACGACGACGATGACGCTGGCGACGGCGGCGGCGGAGACCACGAACGGCGACGACCGGCGGCGACCTCCCTGGGGAGCGGGGCCTCCGCCGCAGTCGCCCAGGTGCCGGCGGGGCGCGCGCGTGGGCGGCCCCTTCCCGAAGACGACGGTCAGCCCCTCCGAGGAAGCGCCCGCGGCCAGCGCTGCGGGGGCGTCGTCGCCGTCGCGACTGCCGCTGCGACCGTCGACGCCGCCGACGTCGCCGCCGCCCTCGGCGCCGCCGCCGCCGTCGTCGTCGTCGCGGCCACAAGGCTGGGGCACACCATGGGGAAACCGTGAGCGCCACCCGAGCGCAACGGCCGAGTGTACCGGCTGAATGTACGAACCGAGTGTGCCACGCGCGTTCGCCGCCCGCGTGCACGCCCCGAAAAGAACCACCCGAGTATACCACCCGCGCGTACCGATCGAGTAGTGTTGGCTCTCTCAGCCAGGCTTTAAAAAAGGGAGGAACACACGGCAGCGCCATGGTTCTGCCATTTCTCAGATATGTCTCTGGAATACGGAGCCCGTTCCTTATGATTCGCGGTAACGCCTGTGACCAGGCCACTCCCCCCCCTCCCCCCCTGGTTACGTCACCGACTGGGAAGTTCTGACGCGTTCCCAAACGGCGCCGGTGCGAATCGTGACGTGATCGCCCCCCCGTCCCAGACAACCCCGTCACGCACGTGATCGACAACAGATACAAAAAACTGTCTCGCGAAATCGAAACAGAAACTGCCCCTAGAAGCAAAAAAAACTCTGAGATAAGACCTGTACCCAGAACCAGAAAAACAGCAACGGAACCTGGTAACAAAAATGCAGAACAGAAGCGGTAAGACAAAATGACATCAGAAATGGCACTTCGCTCCCATGGCACTTTCACAGAGGCTTCCCAAATGGGTGTCCAAGCAGGCAGGGGTCAGAGGAGCGCGCCGCATCCCCACTGCATCGCCGATGCGTCGCCGACGCATCGTCGACGTCGGCGATGCGTCGGCGATGCGTCGGCGTCGAGGAAATCGGCGCCCCACGCCGAGCCGCATCGGCGATACATTTAAGTCTGGCCTGTCCCTCTACAGGAGGAATATTCAAAAATAGTTAAAAAAAAAATCAGGGGACTATTTGTTTGCCATGTGTTGACCATTGTGGAGTATTGTCTGGCTATCTTTTATTGTTCCTCCAAGGTCCCCCTGTAGGGGGACAGGCCCGACTTAACAATACATCGCCGATGCGGCGCGGTACTCCGACCCGCCCCGTCGATCGGCGGCGAAGCCCGCGGGGAAGCCCGCGGGGGCGAGCCTCCTCAAGCAGGCTCGGAGAGGCCCTCCGGCCTATCCCGACCAGTGCTATTTCGGCGTCCTCCCCCGAAGACGCGGTGGAGGCCCGCCCCCCCCCTGGATGGGCCTGCTTTCCTTTCCACCACCACCACCACCACCACAAGTTGGAGAGGGAGGGGGTCCTCCGCCTCCTCCTCCTCCTCCTCCTCCTCCTCCTCCTCCTGCTCCTCCTCCTCCTCCTCCTCGCCCTCCTCCTCCTCCTCCTGCTCCTCCTCCTCCTCCTCCTCCTCCTCCTCCTCCTCCTCCTCCTCATCGCCCTCCTCCTCCGCCACCACCACCATAAATTGGAGGGGGAGGGGGTCCTCGGCCTCCTCCTGCTCCGCCTCCTGCTCCTCCTCCCCTTCCTCCTCCTCCTCCCTCCCCCCTCCAGCTTCTGGTGGTGGTGGTGGTGGAAAGCAGGCCCAGCCCCCCAGGCTCGCAGCCGAGCAGCTGCCGGGGCCCACTGGGAGCTCCAGGCGGCGGCGAGGCCGGGCGCGCGGCGCGCGCGCGCGCCCGGCGGCAGCAGCAGCAGCCAGGCCCCCAGCGCGCCCATGCCGGCGCGGGCGCGCGCCCCGGCGGGCGGGGAGAGAGGCGGCGGGGGCCCCTGCCCGCCGGGGGCCGCTGGAGGGCGGGGGGAGGGAGGGCATTTTCTCTCTATCGGTCGCGGCGGTGGGCCGCAGTGACGGGCGCTGGGGGGGGGGGCCGGCCGTCCGGCATGCCTGGCGGCCTGCCACGGCATCTTCATGGAGCCCAGGAACATCAGGATAACAGAAACACTGTCCTCAGAACATGGCCAAGCCCGATGTTTTTTGTTTTTAAGAAAAATGTTTCGGACACAACTATTATGAGGGCACGTCGCGCAAACCACATAAGAGTTCTTGTAACATTCTCTCTGGTGGGCCTATAGACAAACCAAAACGCTTCGCCACTGCTTAAAACGTAACGCCCCACCCCCCGCCGTGTGGGTCCGGAAACACAAACTGCGGTGCCGGACGCACTGCGGCAGCGCTGGAGACGCACTCCAGAGGGTGGGGGGGGAACGTTACGGCATGGAGGGGGGAGGGAGTGGGGGGGGGGGGGGGGGGCATGACGCGCGTTATGGCCCAGAGGGCCAGAAGGTTAGGAAAACACTCTCGAGGGGGGGGGGTCAGAGGGGGAGGAGGCGAAGCTGCGAACGGCCGATCGGAGCCGCCGGGACCGAGCGGCGGCGGCGCCTCGGCTACCAGCAGGAGGGCCTCTGAAACCACATGGAAAACGCAAGGAGGGTTAAGTCCGGCGTGTCCCCCAGGGGGATTTTGGGCGGAACGAATTTTAAAAAATACCTCCCAAATACTCCCAAATAATCAAAAATCGGCCCCAGGCTATTTTTTGACTATTTTGAGTATTCCCCCTGTAGAGGGACACGCCCGACTTAAAACGAGGGGCACATGCCCCTCACCCTGGAGAGGCAGGAAGACGCCATGGGCCCTGGAAGGCCGTTCCTCTACCACGTTCGTTGTTGGGTGTGCTTGTTACCGCTTCCGGGGGGCGGGCGGAGGGGGGGCCAGAGCCGTGAGCCGTGAGCGATGCGCGAGGATCTGAGATGGGTTACTCAACACTCACTCCATGAAATTGGCCGAGAACTCTGCGCAGCGCGACTTCTGGGGAGTGGGTCAACCCTTCAAGAGCTACTCCCACTGGCTAGGCAGCACCGCCCGCGGGCGGTGGCGAACGCTCATGCGCAGCGGGGGCGTGCAGGCAGGCGACCACCCAGGGAACCGACTCACGACTGAATCCGCGGCCCTTCTTGCTGCCAGGAAGGTCAGAGCGGGAGAAATTCGGATCCATGGACTGGCCAGGCCGTTTCCGTGGACCGTCATTTTTGGCCGTTTTCATTATCAGGAGGCGGCTTTTGTTAAGCAAGTAAGCCCTGCCGTTTCCAAGGCCCACGAAGGTCAGAGGGGGAGGAGGAGAGACTGAGATGAAGGGCGGGTGGAAGCGAAGCGAACGCCGAAGTCATGCGCGCTCCTCTGGAAGCCCGCCCGTGCCAATCAGAGCATGGTGTGGAGGCCGTGGCCTCAAAATGCGACAAGTAGGCGAACATACCTAAGGCACCATTCGGTGCTCAGCGTTTAAAGGTAGTGAAGTCTACTCTGCGTTGCAGTCCACAGCCACAGAAAAATACAGAACCTCGACGCCCGAACTAGCTGCAGACGCGTTTAGAGACAGCATGCCGCCACAAGAACAACACAAAAGCCGCGTCGATCAACTCGATCAGCAAGCTCAGGGCAGGTGCGCTGCGGGTTCAGACAAGCTACCCCCGCTGCTGCCAGACATCGAACAGTACGCCACATCCGCCACCGCACCCTGAGGCAAGAGCTGGAGTGTCCTCGGGCCCCTTGGAGCTCTTCGTCCTCAGTCCTGAGTGGCTGAATATGAGAAGGGCCCGGACCCGAAACTCCCCAATTTCTCCGGGGCGCAGCGTGGCGCGCGTTCCCGCGTGGCGTCTGTGGAGCGGGGCGGGCCCCAAGGCGGGCCAGAAGGGCCCCCGAGAGGCCCTCAAGACGGCCCAGGAGGGCGCCGAGCCCAGGACGGCCCCAAGAGGGCCCCAGAGGCCCCCACGAGGCCCCAAGAACAAGGCTCAAGTGCACGTCCAGCAGGGCCCCAAGAGGCCACAATCACTGAGCTGCCCCGGGCTTTTGACAGACTTTAGCGTTCTCACCTTTACAGGCGTTCGACGCTCAAAGCCGGCCCAAAAGGCTCCCAAGATCGCCCCAAGGCGACCCAAGAAGCCCTCCAGAGGGCCCCCTGACGGCGCAAGAGACCCCCAAGGCGGCCCAAGAGGACCCGAAGAGGGGCCCGAGAAGGCCCTAGAACGGGAACACGAACCAAAAATTCGAACTCTCCTCTCCCGTCCAGGTAGACCTCTCAAAACCGCCTCCAAGAGGCTCCCAAGAGGCCTACCATGATACTTGCAGCCTCCGAGCGATGGGATCCGAGACATTTAAGACATCCATGTTGATCTTCTCCAACAGTTCAAAAGCTCATAATACCTAAGCGTGCACACAGGATCATCATGAGCGGCGCGGCCCAGCGCGAGCAACAAACAATAGCACAGGATCCAGAACTCCACCGTCCCGTTGCGTCGGATCGGGCTGCATCGCCACGGAGTTCGGATCGAACCGGATCGGCCGCGACAAAATGTACAGCAATGCCAGGCGAACATCGGAGCGCATCGGATCATCGGAGTTACTAGAATCACATCGGAGCGGGCCAGCTGGCATCGATGTCGAGTCGGATCGACGGGATCGAAGTGGACACTGGCAGGGGACGAGACGAGAAGGAGGGCAGAGGGCAGCGACGGGGGGGAAGGAGAGGAGGAGCGTCCGATCAAGAGGTGCACGCTCTGCTCTGGGCAAGAAGGGGCCACCTGGGGCCCGATGTCCCGACCTCACGGTTCGCAGCCATCCCGCTCAGGGACGAGGAAGGGGAGGGCACGCGGGGGAGGAGCCGATACGTGGGGAGGCAGCCGAGGAGGTCCTCGCCTGCTCTGCACCAGTGCTCAGGCGCGGCACTTCTCAAGACGTGTGCCATTCGATTCGCGCTCGCTCGCTGCCCGCCTGGCGGCCGCAGGCGCTGTCCGCAAACGGCTCGGCGCTGGCTCCAGAAACAGAAGAACTGAGCAAGGCGGAACGGAATCCTTGCATCCCGGCCGGCCGCTGAGGGTGAAATATCGCGCGGAATCGCACATTTCTCCGAGCAAGCAGTGCTAAACAGCTCTACACATGTAGGCAAGTCTGGCACGGCATCGAAGAGCAGTGGGCAGCGCTGGATTTCTAGCTATTTGCTAAGCCAGGCCCGGTCGTTCTAGCAATCCTGGGGACAAGCCTTTGCTCGGCCCTAGTCAAGGATAACTCGGCTACAATACTGGCAACAAAAACAAAGGATTGCGCAAATGAAAAGCCCTGCCAGCCCGACTAAGCTAAATCGTGCCCTGCCGGCCCGACAGCGACAGCTCCAAGACATCGTGGGCGCGAATCCTGGCTCTGGACCCATCGGGCACGTACACGGACGCGGACAGGGCAACACGAGACATGCCGCATTGGACGACTCTGTGATCAACACGTCAGCGCCAGCAAATGCAAGTGCTCTGACTCCCTGCTCCACAGCGTCGATTAAACCTGCCGAGGCAGGGGTCGAAATTGGTCACATAATGACGAGGACGGCGATGATGGTGATGGTGATGGTGATGGTGATGGTGATGGTGATGGTGATGGTGATGGTGATGATGGTGATGGTGATGGTGATGGTGATGGTGATGGTGATGGTGATGATGTTTGTGTTTGTGGTGGTGATGGTGATGGTGTTGGTGGTAGTGGTTGTGATGGTGATGGTGGTGGTGATGAGTGATGATGCAGACACGGATGATGAGTGAGGCTGCCTGCGCTCTGGAACCAGCCGTGCCAACCGAACCCTGCCGATACCGAGCAGCGCGTCGGCGCCTCCGCGTCAGCCAGCGCAGGAGAGGCTTCGCACAGCCCAGGGCACGCATGCTGCGATCACTCCCCCGGACGGCCATGGCCTCAGTGGACATCTGCACCCGAAGACTGCGAACACGTTCCCCCCGCCAGCGGCTGCCCTCCTCCTCCTCCTCCTCCTCCTCCTCCTCCTCCTCTTCCTCCTCCTCCTCCCCCTCCTCCTCATCCTCCTCCTCCTCCTCGTTCGACCGTCCGCCGCCAGCGGCTGCCCTCCGCCGGCGCACGCCCTTTCACGGGCTTCTCGAGCACTACCATTCCACTCGACGCACTCGTCCTGCAGGGCATGGCATGTCAACCTTTGCGCCCTCGCCTGGAATCCACGGACCACGCTCTTGCAAAGGCTCCCACATGGTTGGTGGTACGGGTCTCTGGCACTAACGCCCCCCCCATCCAGCTCGTGTCGGCAGCTCCCGCCACCCACCGCCAGGTTCCATCATTTCCTGATGGACCGCGCCCCCTTTACGTCCAGTTGACAGGGGCCAACCTGCAATCTGAGAGCTGACCCAGTGCTCATTCGCGAAGTCCCAGCGCGTCTCGTTCGCACTGAATCCGCCGACCCCCACATGTCGGGAGCGAGAAGGCGTGTGGGATGATTGGCTGTTACTCCTCCCCTGGTCCCCCTCCCCAGAAGTCTGAAATGCCGTTTCCAGAGGGGGGGGGGGGGGGCGGACCTGGCCACCAACATTTGCTCTGGCTCTGGGCCTCAGACTCCCAAAATTGTGAGAGGCGGGCACGGATCACCCGAGGGAGCCTCCAAAAATCCGCCAGCCCTTTTGCGCGGCCACCAGGCTGCGAAGGTGAGAATTTCAGCTCCCTGTTCCAGTTGCAGTTTCCACTGTTACAGTCCTGCTTTCCGCTTCCGTACTGTGAATTGTTGCTGAACTCGCGAGGGGGGGAGCCCCAAACCAGCTTTTGTTTTACCACGCCCAGATCGCGTGGTCTGAATTCCTGGGGGGGCGTGGGACAAGCGAATACATTACCTATACGACCGCCCTGCGGGAGATAAGGAGGTTGGGGGGGGATTGAAATCAAATGCCCACCCTGACTGACCTCCAGCCTGTCACCTTGATCTCATCTCTCTCTTTCTCTCTGTCTCTCTCTCTCTCTCTC